TGTTTTATTAAAGTAGCATTGCATCATGACCTATATATAAAAAATGAAAATTTGTGAATGTGTCTGTTCAAAATGTTTAGCGTACTTCCCGACATGCAACAAACTTTAAATTTGCCATGTGGGTACTTTCCATACTGTACACCATGCATACACTTTGGTATTATTTTTTTGGGGGGGGGGGGGTGCAATAATGCATATATTTTGCACGGCAAGCGAGCTGTGATGTCACATCTGTCATGTCACCCGCGCATGTGTAGCGCTTAGCGCTACGAACATGGCGTGGTGCTGGCCACCCACCCCCCGTGTGCCATGCCGGCCTTCATAGGTACTCGCTAACAGCACTTGCCCCCTACAGTCTCACAGGCTACATGGTGGATTTTTGTCCTTATCCTGTGTGTATGTAGGGGGGGCAGCGACTGCGTAGCGATTCGCGCGCTGCGCTACGAACCCGACGACCCAAGTTCAATTCCCACTCATTGCCACCGACGGTGACGATTATTTGAACTGGTCCTGGGCCTCCCCTAGGTCGACTCAGCCTCAAACGAGTAAGTGGTGTGTCAACATCGCCACTGGGGAGACAAAGGCAGCGGCCATGGTGAATCCAAGTCCCGGGCGAAGCCGGGTAGTAAAGCTAGTATTTCATAAATCTTGTGTTCGGTAACTTTGGTTATAAACCTTTCTGTTTTGGTCTCGGTCGAAAGTGTAGTTAAACTTTCGGTTTCGGCCGAAAGTGAAGTTCAACTTTCGGTTTCGGCTTCGGTTTCGGCCAAAAGCCAATATTTAACTTTCGGTCTGGTTTCGGTTTGGGCCGAAACCAGAAATTCAGTTTCGGTCATCCTCTAGCGTCAATGCTTCAGCCTACAACACGCCATGGCAACGTAACTGGTACTGGGCAACTATCTGAACGCTGGAATAAAAAAAACCCGTCTTTCTTGCAACCAAAAACGGCAGGATGGATATGCATGGTGTGCATGCATAATGTGAATGTATGTCTGTTGATTATCCTATGAATAACCCAACCGATATTGGATATCCATTGTAATTTATATGCATTTATAACCCCCCCCCCCGGCCTTCGGCCTAATTGCCCCACAAGTGAGACATCACATTTATCTCTTGAGAAATCCTCCTGCTTCGCTCTTAACAACCCTGGCTATCGCCTGTTGATGTGAGTTGGAATTACTGACAAAACGTCGTACTCGAATTGTAAATTTTATTTTATACCTACGTGACTTTACCAAAAGAACCAAAGAGTATTGAATTGTAAATGTTGGGGGTTTACTGTCGAACACACCAGTGTGCTGAACTAGTAACGAATTAGCACGTTTTGATTACGTGACAAACCTTACTACAGTAATTGGCTGTGTTGGCGGTGGCGGGTTTAACGACACATTCATTTACGTCGTCTAACCCAAAAACCTCGATTATGGATAATGGTCGTGAAAGCTTGAGGTCTTCTTGGGGTAAACAAACTTCTACACTATGGGGACCTCATTGCCAGTAAAAATATGATAATTGGTTCTTTACCCTTCTATCTGGCAACAAAACTGACACCTTTTTGCAAGGAGTCATGTTTGCATAGACCGCAATACCTGCAGTCATAAATACAAACAAAAGACATAACTCTGATGATGTGCACTGTCCTTGAAGTTGATTGGTCCACACCCGAGACAGCTTTCCTTCGAGCCTAGTCTCATATGGGTTGGACCAGATGACGCCAAAAGGCGCCTTTTGGCGTCATCTGGTCCAACCCATATGAGACTAGGCTCGAAGGAAAGCTGTCTCGGGTGGGACCAATCAACTTCAAGGACAGTGCACATCATCAGAGTTATGTCTTTTGTTTGTATTTATGACTGCAGGTATTGCGGTCTATGCAAACATGACTCCTTGCAAAAAGGTGTCAGTTTTGTTGCCAGATAGAAGGGTAAAGAACCAATTATCGTAAACAAACTTATGAATATTTATGTTGAACTTCTTTCGCACCGTACATAGCCAACTGTGCTAATCGGAGGTGTGGAAATAGAAAAAGCCTTGGTTGGAACGCAGCTAAAAGGCCTGGTGACAGAAGTGACCTGTCTGCTATTTTACATCTCTAGGTTTCAATCAACTCATTGCCCAGCATAAATTTTAACGTGAACTCGACTACGGGAACAGACCTGAATCTGACCGTCAGAACGGAGGCTTTGGATTCGGGCCGTGGCCCAGGTGCAGTGGTTTGTGCTGTACAGAGCCCTCGACAAGATAGGTGCCAGACACCAGCGCCGCGGCCGCCCTGCGCGAGCGGCCGCTCAGGGTAGAGCGGCCGAGGTTTCCCACCAAATCGCTCCTCCAGCATTTCCTTCAGCCTGCACGCCCCGCACACACAGGCCGCAACGCGATGTCCACACACAATAAAAAAAATGCCACACTCCAAGTGCTATGAGGCTCCATCCACACGGTGGCGCTGCTACACAAAGCAATGAAGCACGGCTGTTACGAAGACTTAGGGAGTTTAGTCATTTGTGGAATTGTTTTTTTAACTTGTCATGGGACCTTGTTGTCAGCATCGAAGTATAAAGAATAACAATAAGTTTACCCTTTCTGGCAATAAAACATGTCTTAAGATGTTCAAACACTAAATAGATCACGTTACATTTTTCATGAATGGAAAACTTGTTTCTCTAGTCCATACCACGAGCCACTGGTCCAACATTCCTCGTAACATTCAGCAATTCCCTTTCTGCCACGCAACATGCTGCAGGTCAACGTTTTGGAGGGCTTTGGCTCTGCATAGG